CAGACTTGTCTCGAACTCTTGACCTCAGGTGATCTACCTGCCTTGGCCTCCCAAGTGCTGGGATTAGAGGCATGAGCCACTGCGCCAAGCGTCTCTGGACATTTCAATTTATAAAGGATATAACAGGTTTAGTTCAGTATAATTATTTAAAACTAGGCAATAATAAAATACTACGAACAGAACATTTTTTCTGATCAGTCATTTCTTTTTCCCCAAGTGAATCAAAGACATTGTCCAATAAAACAAATTTTAAAAATAAGTGATATGCAAACGTTTAACATATACAGTACTATTTTCGTGACTAAGTAGCAATACTCAGGAAATATAATTCTAATCATAAACAGAATTAATTAAAATATGAAATTACACAGGTAACTTAGTTAAAATAAAGAATGTTGTAGGGGTCAACCAACATTTTTGTTTATTTAAAAAACCTGTTTAATGATTACAGTGACCATAAAATAAGTTACACTTAAAGAAGTTTTTATGATAATAAAATAAAAGCTTTTGAGAAAGATATAGGAAGAATGAATACATCATTTCTGTTCCTTTGAAAAAATAGCATAAAATTTTGAGAAATGTATCAAAACAACAGATTTAGTGTAAAGTTATATATTTATAAAACAGAAATACATAGACAAGGTAAATTTTCTATCTATTCCCTCAGTATATACTTAAAATTACCATTTAGATTCATATACTATTTTAATCCACAACTGGTTTTTTAAAAAAACTGATATTTCTATGCAATTTTTCTGTTTTTGTTTTTTTTTGAGTCAGAGTTTTGCTCTTGTTACCCAGGCTGGAGTGCAATGGCACGATCTCGGCTCACCGCAACCTCTGCCTCCTGGGTTCAGGCAATTCTACTGCCTCAGCCTCCTGAGTAGCTGGGATTACAAGCACGCGCCACCATGCCCAGCTAATTTTTTGTGTTTTTAGTAGAGACGGGGTTTCACCATGTTGACCAGGATGGTCTTGATCTCTTGACCTCATGATCCACCCGCCTCGGCCTCCCAAAGTGCTGGGATTACGGGTGTGAGCCACCGCGCCCAGCCTATGCAATTTTTCTGAATTACTTGCTCTTAAGTATCTTTAAAAACATCATAAATGTAAACAATATTAACTTATATGAAATAACTTCTATTTTGATCCAGAGGGCAAAAGGTTTAAGATTTTAAAATAATGGCATTTTTACCTCAAAAGTAAGTAAGTTTCAAGGAACAAGCATGTATTTTTATTCCCTACTGAACTTGAACAACTTATATTCCCTTTTACAATGAAAATACCCACTGGCATCTTAGAGAGTAATGGTCTTCCAATTAGAAACACAGCTATTTAGCAAATTCACTTGTCTAAAAAACAGCTGAAAAAGGAAAGGAAATAAAGATGGTCTCCAAGCTGATAAAAATGTATGGATTAAAACTCATTCTTCATTATTTAGAACATCTCTGTGCCCTTAATCTTTGAAGTTTTATAATTTATACATGATGCCAAAAAGTTTGGGTTGATTCCCAAGGTCACAGCATAATAGAAAGAAAAAGATGATGATAATAACAGCTGTAATTTTCTAAGCACTTATTAAGCACTATACACAGGGATGGGAATCAGGAGTAGAGGGAGTGTCTATAATAGGTAACTGTAATGAAAGCTCTGTAGTTACTCAAAGAACAACAACAAATGGCTTGATTCCTTGATCAAGAATCTACAAACCTTATGTCCCAAGGGAATCACTGTGTTACAGTACAGAATGATGACTAACATAAAAACAAAACAAAACAGAACAAAAACTCTTTGAGACCTCAAACAAAAGTCCAAAAAATTTTTAACTTTAACATTATACATTTTTAAAATAAGAAGCATGCTCAATGGAATCTAAAGACCTGGATTTGAATCCAGGCCTACCACCTAATATATCAATGACCATAGGCAGTATTAATCTCCCTCATACTCAGTTTCTCTAAATGTAAAACAGAAATATTATTTACCTTACAGTACTATGGTGAGGATCAACATATATAAAAGCAGATAATATACAACTCATGAAAATAGCAGTCAGTGAAATACTCTGAAAACTTGACTACCCAGAATAATTTTGTTCTTTGAAGTATTATTACTTTTTAAATATTTTTACTTATTAGATGTTTAGACGTTACTTTCATTAGTAAATATGTAAAGTAGATAATGCCAAGATTCATTCAAGTATATAGTAAATGCTCTCAAATTTCACTACAAACTACCTGTTTGACTATGTAAGTCCAATTCATTCTTCTATCTCAATTTGGGTAGTTCCACTCTGGAAAGCCTTCTCACATCTCCACTTGCATATCTAATAAACATTTTGGTCTACCACATCCAAAGCCAAAGTCCTGATTCTCCATCCTCATTCCAAGCCTTCTCCACCTGAAATTCTTCCCTATCTCACAGCTGATGGCCACATCATCCTTCCAGCTGCCAAAACCCTTAAAGTCATCTTTTCTCCTCTTTCCTCAATCTTACATTCAGCCCATCAGGAAATCTTTTTGGTTTTACCTTAAAAACATCCAGAATTTAACTGCTACCAGGCCACTACCTTCTGTCATTTAGATTACTCTAAGAACCTTCTAACTGGGAGTCCATGCCTCTTTACATACAGTCTATTCTAAACATAGCAACTGGAGTGATCCTTTTTAAAAATACTGAAAACCCTGGAGTGGCTCCTCAAAGTCCCCACTGAGGCCCTACATGAATAACCCACTCACTCATTTCCTTTGACAATACTTCCTCTTACTCTCTCTCTCTCCATACCATACTCACAATGACAACCATTCATTTCCCTGAGCAAACCAGTCATGCTCCTTCCTCATGCCCTCTGCCTGGACGACTTCCCAAAGGTGTTCACATAGCTGACTTCCATTGTTTATCATTTATCTCCACTCTTACTATATGTGCCACAAAAACAGAGACCTTTGAAAGTTCTATTTACTGATATTTCCCATGTACCCAAAACAGCACACCAAAATGCAAATTAAATATGGAAATAAAATGATACATTAGATATCTCTCCTTTGCATCACCTTTAGCATCCTGTACTTACCTATATTTTATCAGTTATCACATTGTACTGTTTAGCCTATTAATTTTCTGCCTCTTCCATTAGACTGCAAGCTTCTTGAGACAAGGGATTTTACATTGCTTTATAATGCTATTGCCTGTAATTTCTTAAAATGCCTGACACTTAAGTACTCCATAATATTTGATAAATTAATGAATACAATAAAACCATCTAAATCAAATGTGTAAGCATCTTTACTATCTCCAAAATATAAACACAATGGTTAATGGTATGACACTGGAGACTGTTCTGGATTCTGAATTGTGTTTGTGTTTTCAGTCTGGCTCTGGTATTTACTAGCTAAGGAACTTAATCAAATTATTTAAATTCTTTACAATTAATTCCTCATTGATAAAATGGAATAATGGTACCTCCACCTCATGTGATTATCATGAATATTAAATGACAAGAGAATTAGCCCAGAGGTTTGCATATAGTAAGCATTCAATAAATGACATCAATTACTTGTTATTGCAAATTAAAATAGAGGCACTATTATAACTTCGATAACTTGACTAAGTTACAATACTCACAAACCTTAACCTTTAGAATCTCCTCAGAAAATGCCAGTAATTTATATCCAAAATTACTGAGTTACCTAAAATTACCCCAATAAACATTATGTGAAAGAAATTACCTTAATTCTTTCAACAAAAGTAGGATTCTTTTTACATTATCCCATTTTTAACATTCCTAGATGTTAGGTTCTATAACATTCTTCAGTAACTACTTTCAATTTTTCATAATCTTATGGTTTTCTTTTTATATAATCAACATACCTAATACTACAGCTTAAAAATTAAACATTTTACTATGTATATCACCTACACTTATATGTCCATAATATATACATATATACATTCTTCCCTCTACTCTGAACAATTTTACTTTCAGAAATAAGACTTTTGAGAAAAAGTTAAATAATGTTAAGTATATTTGTCATTCTTTATTAAATCACCTTTAAGCTTTCTACTTCCTATTTTAGTCATGTATCCAACAACATATGTATATTCCTACGTATATTCCTTTGGTAATATTATATTAAAGATTGAGCAAAACTAAGAGTGCTGTTTCAAATTAAAGAGCCAATATAATGGTGTTTCTTTTAAAGTCATAAATTTTAAAAAATTATTTCTGTCTATTGTTACTGCTAATGTTTTCCTAAGTGCAGAGTCAGTTCTCCATTTTATAAAATACTTGTGAAACTCATTTTCTTTGTAGTTTGTACCACTATAAAGAAATAAACAAACATACAAATTTTACCTAAGCACTCACACGGGCAGTAGACAAGAAAACTGAGGTAAGCAGTTTAAATGATTGTCCCAAGACCACAGATGGCGTGACGGCCAGATTTAGGATTAAAACTAAGAATAAGAAGCTCATTATTCCCTTCTTATATTCTGAATACTTAACATTGTTTTTATGTCATAAGGATCTCTTTGCTAATTTAAGAATAAGTTAATTTCATAATTAAAATTATCAACATATTTTGAGAATATATGTAAATAGAATTATGACATTTATCAAATCAAGATAAAATTTGAGTTTATCCAAAGTCTGAAAAAAATTAATCTATTTACTATATAAGTTATTTTTAAAATTTTGCTTAGAGTGCCAAAAAAGTGGCAGCTTAATATCATTATCATTTCAATGTCTTTAATAAAGCTAATTTCTTTATAGTATGTGTATGAACTGGTTGGATTCAAGATACCAAACAGGAATACTTTTTCATTTTAAAAAATCCTCCAAACTTAAACAGTAGTTTCTATTCTAATGGTAAACTTTAACTCAGGATATATTTAGAAGAAATCTGTCTATGAAAAAAACAATGTTAAAAAGTAAAGAAAACACCAAATACCCTTGCATTTACAGGAGAAAAAGACAGAGTATAACATTAACAGCAGCTTACTGTGGAGAGTGGGTTTAATCAGGAAGTAGCCATTATCCTTTCGATTCAGAGCAGTGACAGCACTCCAAAACAACAAGCCGTGATATTTTTCACTTAAAAGGCATGAAAGAATACCTACTATTGTGTCCTAGCTTTGCTGACCCCAAAGGTCAGCATATGTCTTTTATCAAAAGCTAACATGAAACCATAATCCAAGTAAGCATTTACAATGCTCTATTTGTTGAAACACCTAAAATCTACCTAACACAACCTCTCTCTCTCTCTCAGTTACTCACAAAACATGGCTGTCTTATTCAGAGATTAGCAATTATTGTAATGAGATACTGTCGGAGAGGGTCAAATAGTACTTCCTGCAGTTTACACATCTTGATTTCCTGGTAAACAAACTGAAAGGCAGGTGGAGCACTTAGATCACCAGCAAACGTGAATGCTCACGTGATAAAACTAAGCCAGGTAAGGTTGATGTCTCAAGTAATCGTTCTTTTCTTAATTTTATTAACGTCAAACAGACAATAAAGGTTCTTCCTTTTTAAAGAAGGGTTTATTCCTCACATGCAAAAACTCACATGATAGGAATGCTTGAAAACTGGCACTGTTTAAAAGCATGTTTCAAAAATCACTTCTGGCAGATAAACTATAAAAACAAAGCAATGCTAACAAGATTTTTAAAAACAAGTAAGAATAACTGCTTTAAAAGCCTGCTAAATATAAAGAAAAGTCTTTAAATTTCAGCTGCCATAACAAAGTACATAAAAGAAATTTCTTAGTTATAATAAGGACCAAACTTCATTGTTTTTGTGGTCAAAGCACAAGACTATTTTTTTATTTGGGCAACTTCCTGCAAAGTAAGACTGCTTTATAATTTATGTGTCAGTCCTTGAAAAAAAATTCCTATGAATCAGAAAGTTTACATAATTGGAAACTATTCTCTACATTATTTTAAACACATATTTCAAAAAGAAAAAAAAACTTAAAATATTTAACCTGTGAGCATTTTTTAAAACATTGTTAGTTTGAAAACTATGTTTCTTTGCCCATAGTTTTTTTTCCCCCAAATTGCTGTTTTTTTTGCTCTCTGAAATTTCCAGTATAGTTTGATGAGGGCTGACTTAAATTAATCATGGATATGAAACAAAAAACCCAGCTCCATCAAAGTGATACATTAATTTACTGCTTTAAAAATATCTAGATAATTTTGTAAAGCCACAAAATTTGCATTTATCTTTAAAATTCTATATTTACTAAGGCTATGTATCTATGTCCTACTATTATGAACACAATAAGCTTTAATTTTAATGCAAAGAACTCTTAAGACCCCTTTTACAACCATATAATCACGTTAACATATTAAATTTATACTACTTAAATTAAGTTTGTATCTATTCAGTTTGCAAAATAAAGTTCTAATGTACCGAAATAGAAAATACAACAAAATGGAATTATAATAAAATAACAAAAAGAACACCCAGGAGAGAAGACTGAGCCAAGGGTATAGAATCTCAGAACAGGTCTTATTACATATACGTAATACGTCATGTCAAGGGGTATGTATTCAGTATCGAACCACATTAATTCAAGTTGCTAACATCACTAATCACCATCTTTACTACAATGACACATGAAATAGCAAATTCTGTGACAATGAAGTTAACATTTCCAGCTGAATTTCTTGGTCACATTAACATTAATAATTTAAATATCACAGTAGTCACATGGAATGCAAAGCACAGTTCTTATTTCCTTTATAGAAAATTTAAGATGTAATTCCTACCACATATGTATTTTTAACTATGTAATTCATACACCAAAACAAAACAAGATTTTAAATAAGAAAATTATTATTTCAATTGTTTCAATGTTTTATGACTATCTTAGTTTCCTATGTGTCAAATTTAAAGCATGATGAAATGAAAACATAAAGAGGTACAGCAAATAAATATGACATTTGGTTTCATTCAAGGTGGCTTTTATCAAGACTCAGTAAGTTTTGATATTATGAGTTTACAATTCAGTCAAAAGGTAAAGAACAAATACCAGTTGGAAAAAAACTTGTGCTCAGAGCTGACAAATGAGAAAAATATATCGTTTCCTTCTCTTGGGTATATTTCAGCCTTACTTGTCCTCTCAGGCATTCTTTAACTGGACCTAGTAATGCTACATAGACAAAAAGCTTCACAGTTAATTCCCCTGCCTTCTGGAAAGTCCAAGAAACCACAGAGATAAGTCCTCCGTATTAAGAAATATGTGCAAAATGAAGTGGGAAGGCAAAGGGAGAAACAAGAGGAGGAGGAAAGTTTTCTACTTCTTATGTGTTTGCCTTCTGCTACAATAAATAGGTGCAGCAAACATATCCCATCTTATTATATTCCATCTTATTCCAACATAATTTAAGATGACTTGCAAAACTATGAGTAGAAGAACAGAATGCTGTCTTTAAAACTAATATGAAAAAACAGAAAATAAGAGGAAACAAGAAAGATGAGAACACAGGGTAAAACTGGAACAAAGAAACACCTATCATAAGGTCTTACACAAGTCTATGATGTGGGTGGTTCAGCTCCTTAGCAATCAAAGTAAAGTGGGAAACAAGATCAAATTACAAAATTCACATTCTCTGTAAGATGTAATTTACAACCTCCAAAGCATTCTCTAGTACTTAGAATTGAGAGTAGTTTTAAAAATAATTTTCAAAAATGCAACACTGGACCACACAATAGTTTTCTCAATAGAATCTTTACAGCAATTAAAATAAGTTTCACATGGTTTCTTTATAACGTTTTCTTAGTGTGAGCCAGAGTGATAACATAATGAAAGATTCCCAAAAATAAGCCACTTGCTAGGAAGTCTTCTGCAATTCTTATCTGGATCTTTAAACAAACACTAACAATTCCCAGGATCTTATGTTAAATTCCATTTTCAAATTCCAAATTCATATTCTATTTTCTAAAGTCAGGTTCTTATTCCAGATGAGTACATAAAATGGGATAACCAGGGTTCCAGGATCAGGCAAAAGATAAAACATTGGTAGGTAGGTCCAGACAATTAAAAGAGACCTTTCTTTTTAACTAAGAAGAGTTCCTCTTTTCATTGGTGATCTTCCTTCCATGATCCTGCCCAGTTTGGTATTTCTAACTATAGTAGATAAATTTGACTCTGTCTTCACATTCAGTTGGCATTAATTTAGATTCATATTTGCATATTTTTAGAGCATTTACTTTTTGTTACTGGTGGAGGGGAAATACAGTGAAGTTGATATAAAGGAAATTTCCTATCTCTTATTTTATTATACAAGAAAAAACAAGATCTGTCAGTGATGTCAACCCACGTGCTACCATGGTATAATATCTGGACTCTACACTGACAAAATATAACAATGATGCATTCTGGTTTTTATGTCAGGTAAATAGGTTGTAGCAAATCATATCTTCCTTACTACTGGGTTGGTCTGTTTTCTGCTTCCCAAAGATCCTAAATGTATGTCCTCCTGCCTCCCAGATTATGCTTATGTTGTTTCCTATCTGTTCTCCTACCTCATTATCAGTTTTGGTCTCATCACTTCCAGGATGGCTCTCTCTCAGGCTCTATTTGAAGGGCCCATAAAACCTTTCTCCACATAATTTAGCTATATATTACTATATAATTATTTGGGGAATCTCCTTTACTAGATCTTGAAATTCCTTCTTTTATATTACCCACCATGAATAACAAAATGCTCAACATGTAGCAAATACTCTAAGTACAAATAAACTTAATATGATGTATTAATAAACTGCTGTATTTTATATTTATAACAGCTCATGTTTGTTCAACATAACTTAGACATTTATTATGACTGCATCAATTGAACCAGAAGGCAAATTTTCACCACACAGTGATTTCTGCATGGTATACAATCAACCCATATTTAATCAAAGCATGGGTTTTTCTGCTTTCAAGCTTGTCAAAATAATTTCAATTGTGAGACAACTTTTGAGAACACTACCAAAAACCAAATAGATTTTGTAAGCTACAGTCAAACCTCAAAATGACTAAGATTAAATGACAATTGTCATCCAATACATTTTGGTCCATATTTAAACTCATTACATAAAATTCATGCAGCATAATACTTTATTACCATTCAATGAATTCTTCCAATGTATGGCCACTGAAATTTATTTCTGAACTTCCTATTTTATGAAAATTCAAATCTTAGTAATCTCAATATATAATTTTGCTATTGTAAAAGGTAGTAGTCTTTAGATTTGGCATACTATGTATGCTTCGTTAAAATACTTTCTTGCAATAAGGAAAACCACTCCTAATATTTAAAAATGTTAAAAAAAACATATGCTTAAGTATTTCATATTGTCAACTTAAGTCAAGATTAATTCTATTCATTAAGAAAGTTATAGGATAATTATCATGGTTACCTTATTAACTACCTTGTAATTGTTTACTTCAAAGAAAAAAAGTAGGAAACATATCCATAATACAAATCAAAATGGTTTTCGAACAAATTTAACAACAAAAGAAAGGAATGTTATTCCATTTTCTTTCTTTTCTTTAAAAACAAAATGGAAAGAGTAAGCCAAAGACAGATACAGATGTATTTTCATTTATTGCAACATAATAGATATACACAGAGCCTGTGAGAATACAATATTCATTTTGCTGCAGAAGAACAGACATTGCATAACAATGAGATTTGCTAATGAAATCAACCATCAACCTGAAATACATATGTATTAAACCAAGACCTCAGTGTCATTTTCTTTTTGCATCGTTTGTTCTTTCTTTCATTTTTTCTTGACCTTTCAGTATTTTTGTCCTTTAGATTTTAGAACTTACGGGTGAAGCAAAATCAGCTCTATATTACCATGTATTGCTTTTTATTCATCACATTTATTTTTAATGTAAATTCCAATTGTTCTGCTTCTATCAGCACTATTAGTGTACCTTTAGAAAAAAGAAATCAATGGATGCTACCAGAAGAAACAAAGGAGGTTTATTTCTAAAGAGAATTGTTGGATCTCAGGTCCAAAAAATTTTTTATCAATATTTTACATAAATTCTATGTGAAAACTTTAACTGCAAGGTGAGTGCTTACTTATTTAATAGGAAAATAATAATAAACATTTTAAAGTCACTTTTGTAATAATGTAATTTCTTCAGCAATTTCAACTATTGACAATTATTAAATGAAATAATGTAGGGCTAATATAATCATTAGAATAAAAATTTTTCTAAAGTTTTTAAAATAAAATAATACTTTTCTCTCAAAATGTTTTACTATCATGGTCTGCCAATGTTGATTACCAATTAATATTTGTCAAAAATAAGTAATGCTGGGAACTTTCTTAAAGATTTATGATTTAGATACAATTTTTAATAAAAGCACAAGACTATGAAAGCATTTAATGTGATATATCTTAAAAAATATAAGTATTAATGTACCCTCAGAATCAATTTATATCCTTTTGAATATAGACTATTTAACTAAAGAAAGAGCTATCTATACTATACTATTGGTTGTCCACTTACACAAATTAGGTTTCCAATTCACCTGTGCTACAGATAAAGTAACAGGCTAATCTCTGGTATACAATTGCTACTAATTCATAATAATAAAGCTTTAACAAAAGCAACAAAAAGCGGTAGTTATACCAACTGAAACATCCAGGGTCAAACAAAAGATTAAGTTTACTATTACAGTTTTATACTACCTTAATGTCTAACTTCAAACAATATCCTTCAAAAATAACCAAAGGCAGTATCAATTACAATTTTGTCAGAAATAAACAATTAGACATTCCTTATTAAATGTAAACTCTGAAAGTTGCCACTGACAGTCTAATAGTTGTCAAGGCTATTTTTAAAACTTTGAAGGATGATTTTAAGCAAAAAACCACATAAACACAGAAAAATCAATCAATCTATACACAACAGATTTTCCTTTAAAAATCCAGAAATTTCTATTAAAATATCAAAAATACATCAGACTGTAGAGAAACAGACACTTTAAATGAGTATCTGTGTGACACCAAAAGCCTGCTTTCACTAGCACAAAAAAAAAAAAAAAAAAAAAATCCTGAAACACAGTAATAAGGTTTGGAAGGTTATCTAGCTCATTGCTACTCAAAGTTCACAGACCAGCAACATGGAAATTATTTGTTAAAAATGCAGAATCTTGGCCAGGTGCAGTGGCTCACACCTGTGATCCCAACATTTTTGGGAAGCCAAGGCAGGAGAATCACTTGAGACCAGGAGTTAAACACCAGCCTACGCAACAAAGCAAGACCCCATCTCTACAAAAAATAAAATAATTAGCAAGGTGTGGTAGTGTGTGCCTGTAGTCCCAGATACTCAGGAGGCCGAGCTGGGAGTATCACTTGAGGCCAGGAGTTCTAGGCCACCCTGGGCAACAGTGAGACCTGGTCTCTACAAAAAATTTTAAAATTTAGCCAGGTACATTGGCAGGTACCTATAGTCTTAGCAACTCAGGACACTCAGGTGGAAAGATCACTTCAGACCAGGAGTTTGAAGTTACAGTGAGCTATGACTGTACCACTGCACTCTAGCCTGGGTGACAGAGCAAGATCCTGTGAAAGAAAGAAAGGAAAGAAAGGAAAGGAAGGAAGAAAGGAAAAAAAGGAAAGAAAGAAAGAGAGAAAGAGAAATGCAGAAACTCAGGCCCCAGACTAGACTTACTCAGTCAGAATCTTCTGTATATTAAAGTTTAGGAAGCCCTGATCTAGAAAATGCTTCAGAGAACCTAACAATTTATACACCAATTTCAGTAATTTCTGACATTCTAATAACTCCTTAAAAATCCACATTAAAAGACAGAATACACAGAGAATAATTTATTTGTTGTACCCAAAGTCCACAATCTACCTTTTGCTTATTCATCTAAAGTCTCATTCATACAGACTACTGATTTAAAATTTGTGGTAGTATGAGGAATAAAGGGGCAGAAATAATATGTTTCTATAAAATATTGGAAAATATTAAATACATATAAAAAACAATAATTTATACCCAGCAAGATTTTAAATTGTTTCAGCAGAAGGGGCCTTTCTTCAAATAAAATTTGTAAAGAAGCCCAGTATGGGCTCACACTGAGATTACAGGTTCATACCTGTAATCCCAACACTTTGGGAGACCAAGGTGGGAGGATGGCTTCAGGCCAGGAGTTTGTGACCCGCCTGGGCAATACAGCAAGACTCCATCTCTACAACAATTTAAAAAATTAGCCAGGCATGGTGGTGCACACCTGTGGTCCCAGCTACTCAGGAGGCTAAGAGGGTGGATTGCTTGAGCTGGGAAATCAAGGCTGCAGTAAGCTGTGATCATAACACTACATGAAAGCCTGGGCAAGGGACCGCAACCCCATCTCAAAAACAAAACAACAAACAAACCAACCCAGGATGGCAGAAAATTAAGAACTGCTTTTGCGAGTAGAGGAGGTGCCTAGCAGATGCCAAGGTATTTCAAGAGAAGCAATTCACATGGTTCTACAGAGAACAGTCTGACTTGAGAGAAGAAAATTACTTAAGAGTCTAAAAACAAATGGAAAAGCTGTTGTACTAATCACAAAGTTTGCTATTCATCGAAGCAAGTTCTCAAGTTTATTCTGTAGTATTTTAAATTAAGAACACTGGATTAAAATTACATAATTTTTCTAAGTAAAATTGGTATTTTCTTAAATAAATCTAATCGGTGAAGTTAGAAATAACTCAGGTTACCTTCAATTAAATTATTTTAATTAGCAGTAGGCCTATCATATACAAGGCATTATGTTAAATGCTAGTAATACAGATGAATGCATAAAGTACTCTATTTATTGTCTTGGAAGAATAAAATAAATACATGGTGGTAGTCCCAGATACTAAGGAGACTGAGACAGAAGAAGTGCTCGAGCCCAGTAATTCCAGACCAGCCAGAGCAATATAGAGAGACCCTGTCTCTAAAATAAAGATAAATACTGATCCAGAGGGACGAAAAAAAGAAAAGAAAAAAGATAAATACATGGGACATACTACCATTTATACCATAAGAGAGGTATAAAGTACTCTGAGAGCAAAATTAACGGAGGATGTCAGAAAAAAGCTTTATCAAAAAATGACATCTGAAGTATGCTTTGGAAAGTATTATAGGAATTTGAATAACAAAGATGGGTAGGTGGAGGCATCCCAAGGGGAAGGAGAACATACGCTAAGGATCAAAAGCTAAAAAGCACTGGATGTATTCTGAGAATAGCTTGAGGTGACTTCCAAGTTCCCTAATAACAGGAATCACGAGTTGTTCCTTTTATAGCAGTAGTACCTATAACACCCAAGAGTTAATACACAGGTTGAACATCCCTAATCAGAAGAGCAATCTGAAACTTTTGAGCATCAACATGATGCCACAAGTGAAAAATTCCATACCTGACCTTATCTGACGTGTTGCACATAATTATTTAAAATATATAAAATTACCTTCAGATTATGTGCATAAGGTGCATATGAAACTAATAAATTTAGTGTTTAGACCTGGGTCCCCTTCCCAAGATATCTCATTATGTATATGAAAATATTCCAAAATAGGAAAAAATCTGAACTCCTAAATGCTTCTAGACCCAACCATTTCAGATAAGGAATACTTAACCTGACCTGGGCAGCATAAGAGCTTGTTATTATATAATGTTTGAATTACTCAATCAATCAGTAAAGTAATAATAATCTGGCTAGTACCTAGGGCCTATGTAAAAAATAGTGGGAGAGATAATTATTTGGCTGAAAATATACATTAGGACCTTATTGGAAATGACCTTAAATACCACACTAAGTGTTTAAATTTAATGCTGCAAACAATGGTAAACTACTCACATTAGAAATATTGATCTAGCAGTTTTAAGGAGGATGAATTGAAACAGGAAGAAATATACAATAAGGATACTGCAATATTTGATCTCCTGAGATAATTTAGGCAAAAGTGAGGTTTTGTACTAAGGTGTGGCAGAAGAGTGACAAATGAGGAGATAAATATAAAAGTTATTCATGTATGAAAGTAAAGATAAATAATTTTTTTTTTTTTTACTTTTTGGCTGGTTAGAGAAAGAAATTTAAAAACTGTATTGTAGAAGTAAAATTTATTGAACTTCAAAGCAGGCTCTATATGCAGAAAGTGGGAATACAAAAATTAAGCAAATGCCAAAAAAGTAGAGAGGAAACCCTTTATGCATTCCTCACATATATTGGTACCCTATATAGAAAGAAATTAGGCAATACATAGTAAAGTCAAACCTGGATGCAGCCCATAATACAGTAATTCTACTTCTGGATATCTCACCCAGAAAATTTCCAATACATGCAAATAAAAATTCATATATATGAATGTAAATTGCAGTCCAGAGTAAAACCTTGAAAATATTGGAAAATGAATAAATAAAAATATCATAGTATTTTTTTTTTTGAGACTGAGTTTCGCTCTTGTTACCCAGGCTGGAGTGCAATGGCGCCATCTCGGCTCACCGCAACCTCCGCCTCCTGGGTTCAGGCAATTCTCCTGCCTCAGCCTCCTGAGTAGCTGGGATTACAGGCACACGCCACCATGCCCAGCTAATTTTTTGTATTTTTAGTAGAGACGGGGTTTCGCCACGTTGACCAGGATGGTCTCGATCTCTTGACCTCGTGATCCACCTGCCTCGGCCTCCCAAAGTGCTGGGATTAGAGGCGTGAGCCACCGCGCCCAGCCTCATAGTATGTTTTTATAATGAAATACTATATAGTAGTTAAAATGAATGATGTAAAGCTACTTACATTAACATAGATATATATCTTTAATATGCTAATACAAACACTTGAGAGAAGTGAAGGTTTTGTTTGTACTTCTGTTTATCACTTTATTTCAAGCCAGGACAATCCTTTAGATAACAATGGATAAGTCATGAGAAACAAAAATGAATATGTCTTTGGCAGATCAATGAAGCAAGCCTCTAGAGGAGGCAGAAGTGAATATAAATTTTAAAAAATGAAGTTTTAGGTTTAGGGAGGAGGAGAAACACTTTTTTTCTTTTTTATTTCAGAGATGGGTAGGGAAGTAGAGGGAAAAATCCTAATAGTTTTTTGTTATTTTGCTTTTGAGACAGGTCTCACTCTATCACTCATGCTGGAATGCAGTGCAATCTCCACTCACAGGTTATACAGTAAGTGTGTGTTTTATTTTTTTGAAACTGCAAACTTTTTTCAGAGTGGTTGCACCATTTTACATTCCCAGTGGTAATATATGAGAGTCTGATTTCTTCATATCCTTGCATTTCATATTGTCACTATTTTTAATTTTAATTTTTTTAGATGGGGTCTTGCTATGTTGCCTAGGCTGGTCTTAAACTCCTGAGTTCAAGCAAGAGTTCAACTGTTCTAATAGGTGTATGGTAATATGTCATTTTTGTATTTCTCTGATGGCTAGTGATGCTGAACATCTTCTCACGTGTTCAACTGACATCCGTATATACTTTTTGGTGAAATGGATATCTTTTACCCATTTTCTAATGGGACTGTTTGCCTTTTTACTATTGAGTCTTTAGTTTTTTTATATATCCAAGATGAGTCCTTTGTCAGATAAGCGGTTTTCAAATATTTCCTCCCAGTATGTAGTTTGTCTTTTCATCATCTCAACAGGGCATTTTGCAAAGCAAACGTTTTCAATTTTGATAAAGTTCAATTTACCGATTTGTTTTCTTCTGTGAATCATGTTTTTGTATCATATGGAGGAACTCTTCACTAGGTTTTGTCTTGTAGGTTTTCACCTATGTTTTTCCAAACAGGTTATGAACTACAGGAAAAGACTGTTCAATTTCTCGGGTTAATTTTAACACTTACTGGGTATCCACTTAAAGTATTAGGCACTTAGCACAGTTACAAAGTATCAGATATACACAGCAGAAAAAAAATATATGTTTTTATTTCATTATTTTCAGTGTTTTGATAGAGTTATACATAAGCGCATCTGACTTATCCAGGAAGAGCTTGAGAGTGTTGTTGTAGACGACTTTTGCTCTAAACCTGGAAGCCTTCTCACAGGGGAAGGCTGTGTCAGGCAGGGATAACAGCACTGAGTAAAGGCAAAAGGACTATACATGCTCACCTCTTGTTTGAGGAAGCATAATACCATTTAACATTTGGAGACCACCAAGTATGGGACATTGAGGCATTACTTTTACATGTAAGCAAGAGACAGATTGTGGAAGATTTCATATTCCCTGT